AATTAAAGTGCAGTGGAAGGTAATTGCATATTACAGTTAAATTACGTTATTGCAGATGTAAATGTAAACAACTGGTGCTGTGAATAAACAGTCGGCAGTGCAAATCGATATTCAGTCAAAGTGAGTAGTGCAAGATGCATCTTTAGAAACTTCAGCAAATGTTAGTGTAAAGTCTGGTGGAGAAGAAGTGTTGTGATGCTAGGAAAGTGACTTACCTGTATTTTCTGTGTTCTCTCCAGGGTGTTTGGACACATGCTTCCCTGTTGGTCCAGACACCAGTTATAGGTTCTGGGAGAAACCATGTAAAATATGGGGGGAGTTGTGCACATAGTTTGTGGGATTTCTATGGTGTTAGGGTGTAAGTTTATATCAGAAAATGTTTATAAAAAATAACGTTAAATGTGTGTGTAGATATTTGATTGAAATGTGTTATTAGATGGAGGTGAGGAAGAGTTAAATTTCATGTCAATGGTTTAGTTCATCGGCTGTGTTTATTTAAGGCAGAGATTGTGTGTTTGATGGAAGCTGAATAAACCTGCTGATACTTACACTTCATTTTTGCTGAACAATTTCATTTTCTGATTGGCTGGTTACACCCCCCTCTCTTTGCCGGAGAAAGGGGGGTGTAACCAGCCAATGAACGAACCACACATGGTACGTATAAGAAAATCTTCAGGAGAAAGAGCGGCTAAAAGTTATAATTAATGTTCAGAATGGATAATAATAATAAAAGTCATTCCCAGGTTTAACATCTTCCAAACCAACATCCACATGGATTCAGAGATGTTCAGTTTTCAAGCTGATCCACCTTCCTCTCTCAGTCTTTATGGAATGAAGAGAAGCAGACACAGAAACAAAGTCATCCCACTTTAATAGTAGTTTGTTTTGAAACATACAGACAGAATGTAAAGAAATTTCACTGAGATTTTAACTCCAAGCCTTCATAAATAAACAGAGAGCCATTTAAAAAAGCTCACTGACTGAAGACTGATCAGCCAGACCTCGTGGTCGGGACCATTTCTAGGAAAGGCTTCATGTCAAGCTTTCAATTTCACAGAGCCGTTAGCCGCTAATTTATTGGTACCACTTTAATAAACGAGGCTCCTTATAGATGCTAATAAATAACCGTTTATTACTCATTCAACATTTCATTCATGCTAAAAATAATTTTTACAAAAGCCTTTAAGGGTCAGTAACTTCATTCTGAAATCTTGAACAGCTTAGGTTCAATATTTGGCATTAAAACCATCAGTTTGGTCTCTTGCTTACCTTTAATTAATGCATAATAAAGCATTCAAAGATTCTATCTACTATTTATTATCTTCTAGAAGGGATCCTTATCGTAAAGTGGAACCAACATTTAACTCGTATCTGAACAGAAGAGGTGAGAAACATTAATAAATGAAAAATAAAAACTCTGGTAAGTAAGTACACCCATTAAAATTTGAAATTATTTTTATGTAACATAATCTAATTTCTCCTCCTAAAAAATACTAAAGTGCATTAAATGTTTAGGATCCTAAGCAGGAGGATGAGGTGACAAAAGGAGGACATTTTTAAAGGCGGATGCTAAAAAATAATCTCTTATTTTCTTTTAATAGTGAAGTTAATGTGCCGAGGCCCCTCCTGGGGGCCCGACAGGAATATCGTCCTCCTAGAGCCCCTGTCCTCTGAAGTTTGTCCCTCTGTGTGACATCATTAATGGGTGTAATTACTTCCCTAACTGGGGATCTAAAAGCATGGGCTCTGGTTGATTGGCAGCTTGGTCCAAGCAGTCGGTGAGTTCGTTACACCGGAGGTGGTTTACACCTCCAGGATTTAGCCTCATCCCCCAGCCGAGGGTCCCCTTCTCCCTGGTCTGAAGGTGCAGGAGCCTCCCTGTCCCATCAGAGGGTTGTAGTCTGAAACAGATAGAAAACATTTTTAGCGACACTCGTACAGCCGTCATTATAAATCCAGTTTTATCCGGTTGGTCGCTCTGAGCGTCCGACGGTTCGCTAACACCCAGGAAGGTTTGCAAGTCGATCGCTGCAAAAAAATGGAATATAAGCAAATCAATTTTCCCTAAATTGGAGTTTGCTATGAGGACGATATGGGGCAAACTTTTCCACTATTGTTACAAACAAAAATATATATATTTTTTATTAGTAATTTTGAAAAAAAAAAAAAAAAAGTAATTCATAAATTAAGCTTAACCCTTTATTGGGCCCTCAGTGAAATACTTTGAAAATCAACATTTCAAACCAATAAAAGTCAGAATTCTGACTTTTTTCTATTATTAAACTGAAATGAAACTTTTTAAACAATTTAATTTAATAATCAGTAAACAGTTTTTTTTTTTTTTCGGTGGCCCTAATTCTCTTCCATAGGGCCCTCAGTGAAATACTTTGAAAATAAATTTTCAAGCCAATAGTGTTACTGGAATCCTGGACAAGAACTTATTACCTTCGTAACATTCAAAAAATCTGGATATTTTGATGGTAAAAATTAATGTCAATGTAATAACAAGAAATATCAACAATATTAAGAAAAATAACAAAAGTTCTTCTATAAGAAATTCATGAAAATCAGATGAAGAAACATTTTTTTTTTTTACAACATAACCTTAGAGGCAATAATGCCGATACTGGCAGTTTTTCTAGTTTTTTAAACCCTAATATAATTGTTAACTAGGCTTATT